TTACATACCAAACGTTGTTTTATACATTATCTTAATATATTTCATATTCTATTCCTATAATTCATTCATCTTACTCTATTAAAAATATATTCCTATAATAATAATCGACTTTTCGGAACTGCTCTGTTATTTCAGATTCACTCTTAATTCAAATAGCTTAATTCTATTAAAAAAAATGAATTAAGCCGAAATCCGAATTACGTATAACAATCCAAATTAACGAGGGTACAGTGTACTGAATAGCACATTGGAGTGACAATAGAGGAAGCACTCTTTGGATAGGAATGCCTGACTCGGGTAATTAATTGTATTATCAGAGTTTACGAGCCTATTATACCACTTATGCACTGGACTGATATTTATTTATTTCCCTTTATTATCTATATTTTATAATATTTCTGGTTTCACTGTATTTTCACTTTCAACAAATCAATAAATTAATTGAATCATTAATCATTATACATCCAAACGCATGGAAGTCGAATATAATGCTACTATCAGTCGCCACTCACCAGCTCTGCTCACCACAGAATCTCAGCATGTTCTGCCGGGAGTGCCGTACGATATGTTGGGCAAACACTTCAATTTTACCTAGACTTCACTTTTAACTGCTACATCAATAACACTACCCTTGGTGTGAAATCGACATGGCACCAAAACGGTTGTATCCTTCAGGTGCATGCCCCCAGTTAGCCCCAGAGCTCGTAATTCAGGAAGGGGGGGGGGGGTCAGGTCAGCTTAGGGCCCCCAAAGGGTTAGGGCCAGCCCTGCCTTGTGCACACAAACTAAGTTCATTTTGCTAAACTTGAAAATTATTAAAATTTTCACGTTTAATAAAATATTCTATAAAAGTATAATTTTATTATACTACATACTGAAAGGAGTTTAATGATATGTTGAGATACAATTACGAAGTCCAACTATGTACCCGTCCATATTGACACAACTGCCACTGTTTGCCGAGGCCTCTGATATGACGTCATTGATGTTATGGGGAGGTGAGGAATATCAGATTAAGTTAAATCATTGCTCTCATGACTCCCCAATATAATTTAAATTGGTCTATATCGTTACGGATGTATAATTCACAACTTCAGAAATGCACTTGTTCTTTTATACATAAACAAGAAAAATGCAAATGGTCGCATGGTTGTCCTGTGAATGTGAGTGACTGCTCTGTTAACCTTCACACCTGCACCAATCTAGCCATGTCAGAACACCTGCTGGTTACTGAAATATGTTATACACAGTATTAATGATTTTGCAGAAATATGAGGACGTATGGCGTAACTTGACAAAATAATAGTTAAAATAGAATAATGTATTGTTGTTGTAGTGGCAAGTAGGCCTTCATATCCTGGCCAACTGTCCCTAATGATACTGCTTTAGATCACGTATTAAAGATACCGAACACAACCATTAAGAATGAACGTTTTCCCAAGAGTCGTAAGAAAACATCTAAGGTGGCTGGAGGATCACTTATTCATTGGTAAATATATATTTTTTCATCTTTGATAATTCAGCGGGTGTCAGTGAAATGAAAAATCCTGCGGACTTTCAAAATGCAACTAAAGACTTTTCTTTTTTCGGGGTACATGAAGAGAGACTCTACTGACAATTATATTTTCATATATATGTTGTTGTAATAGTTATCATCATTATGTCTTGCCTCGTTCAGTTGATGTTTGATTTTATTTATGCTGAACCCCAGTTAATATCTTCCCTTTAACGAAAATTGAGAAATAGTGGTAGCAAGAACTTAGCGCATCCTCCTTTGAAGGTCTTCTATTTACGAAATATTTGTACCTCACTGTACATATACTTAATGGTTGCCCCGCGTGTAACGAGGATGGCCGGCCCAAGGGCCACCTAGACGTGAATTTGTTTAAGGTGCAGAAGCTGTCGCCAACACAACAACCACACCCTAAATTAACTCGCCAACTGCACTGGCTAACCATTACCCAGGAATACGATCCGCAAATCGTTAACATCCAGGTTCCCAATTACTGCTGGGTAGACAGAGGCAAATGGCGTAAAGAAACTTGCCCCTATAGTGTCACCCTGCCCGGGGATCGAACCCAGGTACGATCGCTTGCGAGGCGAGCATGTTGACCATTACACATACACACACACACATCCATATGCACATACTACATCCAATCCTGCCCATATGCACACACATCCACACCTGTTCATATGCACATACACACGCCTGTCCTTACACACGTACACTGACACCTGTCCATACACACGTACACTGACACCTGTCCATACACACATACACTCACACCTGTTCATATGCACATATATTCACACATACTGTACTGTGGTTGTGACACATACCCATACATGCAGGCATCCCTAAACATTTCACACTCCGGTGCCACTTTATCGTTACAGGTGTGGTGGAAAGCTGCTGGAATGAACTCCACATCTGTCGGGCGATGAGTGGGTCAGCTAAACAGTACATGCATGACGTTTTATGACGCCAATACTAACAGATGCTGAAAAATTCCGAAAAACAATGTTTGTAAACACACTATAAATAAGGCTTTAAACAACTGTGTTAAAATTCCTAGTCATATAAAGATGAATGATAATCGAGTTTGAAACATACGACGACTGTATGGAGGTGGTAACATCAAGTGTGTCAGCTAAATTATACAAGAGTACACTATCTTACCTACGAATTTACGTACGCAGGTAATGAACACTACGTGCTGTACAGGTAACGCCGCGCTCACGTGATCCATTTTTTCCTTACTAAATTGATACATTTTCTTCTCTCACTAACAAACGAAAAAGTTTAATTTGGAAGACTTCAACTATCTACTTTTGTGGTTCAGTAATTTTAACATCCAAGCATGTTCTTACACATACCACTCCACTCAAACATTTTCTTGCACGCCCTTAACCATATACAGTCTTTATAAACATTCAGGCAGACAAGTAAACTGGATTTTTTCAGACTCATAAAGCGTTTTGGAAATGCCTCACACTATTAAATCCTGTCCCGAAAAGTTTGAACGTTACCTAAGTTTATCAAGAGTCAATGACTGCCCTTAGCTGTGTGTGGTTCATTGGTATTAGCTTTGAAATTTCTTCGTCTGTCCAGTGCTTGTTTAGTTCAGCATCAAGTACTGGTTTAAACTGAGTACTGTATATTGTAGGTGTCCAGTCTTATGAGACATAGTACAGTACTGTCTCGGTAAAGCGTGACCTTAAACACTACTGATGACCGTCAAAACCAAGAAGAATAACAAATAATCTTCAAACTTAAATCATTCCTTCCTCTCCTGCCCCTCCCCTAGAGCTTTTCAATAATGCAGAAGCACTTCGAAGACTCCATCGAAAAAATCTGACCCATGCTTCAACACACCGACCTTCACACATTCAGTATACCATAAACAAAGCTGCAACAAATGTTATTATCCTCGGTATGAGTAATATATTTCCGTGTTGTGTAATCAGAGAGCAGTGAAGATGACTGGTGCCTCAGGAACTCGCCATTATCAGCAGAAACAGGAAAGAGAGTCTTCCCTGGATTGGTGTCACTTGATATTTACTAGTGTCGCAATACTGGTGTACTGACAATGGTGTATCCCAGTACTACCACATATTAGGTAATTTCAAACTCAAAATTACAGTTAGGAAAGATATTCCAGTATATCATAAAATAAAAGTGCTTCACACTCATCCTCAAACTGATGATTTAAAAAAAATATATAAAATATTAAACAGAGTTCGGCAAGTAAGCACTAAAGAGTGACACTCGCTTCGACGACTTTAACTGAAAAACCGAAGAATCCTTTATTTTTCGAGTCATAAATTTCAAGTTCTGCTCCTGATCAGAAACTATATAATACAGTACTAACTCTCACTTCCTCAGATCCTCCCGCACTCGCCAAGACTCTTAAAACCATCACATTTGTTGTTTTCAAGACACACGTTAAGCCACTCCACCAAGTCTTTATATTATCATTTTAACAACCAAGAGAACAAGATCTAATCACCAATTAATTGACCTTAGCTTTATCGCTGATGTGTCACACGAATGACTATCGTTGCCGTGTATACTGTATGGCGCCTATGGACACATATGTTTAGTTTTGTATTGAATTCCAACATCTTGAGGTCACTTAAAAATAAGATCTCAAACTTTGTTCATACTATACAGGCATATCTCCAGGTTATTTCACATTGTGTTCCGTAATACTGATCAGAATTTGGTGATCACGATATCATTTTCCTGATCAACAAAGAACTATCGGTACCTAAAGGTTATCTCTGAACACCCTGTATGGTAACCGCTCGTCTTTGGGTTGGACAGATTTGAGTAACTTCTCATTTTAGGGTCACTAGTGGACAATTTAATTTAATAACAATTTGTTTCTGTAAATCATATCTATGAATTCCTTCTGGCCAAAGTTTAATACCTGACTAAATGTTCTCTTGTGAACATTCCTAAAGCTGCCTATTGACTTACAGGTAACATTCGCTGAACAGAAACATGCTAAGCAGGAGAGAGTTCACAGGATGAATAAAAATATGGTATTTGGTAATTTTATATACAATTAATATTTGGAGTGAGTATAATCTTGATATTTTGTTGTTCCGCCAGTACTGACAACTGAGTCACTCTCTCAGAAGTAGATCACTATCGGGAACGAACACTGAAAAATGTCATTACCTTCACATTAAAAGAATTCAGGTGAAGGGCTACTTGCACACCTGTGTAGCGAATTAATTATAGCTACAGTTGCCAAACTCCACGAAAACTGAATATTAGTTTTATACACGCACGTCTTCGTTGTCTCAACGTAAAACTGATATTGGATTTCACTGTTAAGACAGTCACATGAGTTGAGAACGATGTGAAATTTATATTTCCAGTCAGTAAAAGCGTCAAGTGTAAATATGTGTAGGTGTTCAGGTGGGAGGGGGGGGGGGCAGGAGCATCGCTTCCCCCTGCGTCACCAGACTCACCACAGTCACCTCAGTCACCCCTCAGGAGCCGGAGCCATGACTCGCCTCGCTATGCTTGGCGGCTCCGATCTTGTACTAGTGCTGGCTCTCCTCTGTGTCTTTAACACACTGGCACAAACTAAAGCCACTAAAACAGAGGCGAAGGATTTAGAGCGAAGCGAGAGTAAGAAAACAATGAGTAATAACATTAAAGACGAAGACCTAATCGAGAGTTACCAGGAAATAAAAGAAACACTGAGAAATATCTTCTCACAAGGAGTACACCCAGACGAGGGAGGAGACCACTTAAGAGAGTATCTAGAGCCTAATAACCGTCTGCCTATGTCAAGAGATGCACTTAGTTCATACGACGCAACACACAAGAGGGGTGGTGTTAGTAATCTCAGGGCCAGTAGAAGACGTGGTGTATTTATTCGTAAAAATGAAGCACTAATTGACAGTCTCAGAGACCAAGTCCCTCATCAGTATACAGGAAGATGGAGGCACGACTCTCTACATCACGTCCACACAGGAGGGGAACATACCAACACTTACCTGAACGAATGGGTGGTGCACCTGACCGGGGGGCGAGAGCTGGCTGCCGCCGTCGCTAAGGACTTGGGCTATCAGTTCCTGGGACAGGTGGGGACCTTGCTTGTAAAACTATAAGATGGTTTCTCTCAAGCCTGTAGAAGTTTAGGTTTCATTGGTCAAGTTTAGTTTGTGTGGTCGGTTACTCTATTATCCAGGGAAAGTTTTGAGACCTTTGTTTTGGACACGCACAGTAATATAAGAACAGCGTGCTGTACCCTGAAACACTTCCAAGTTTTCGTTGTGTCTTAACATTGGAGTCTTGCTTAGATCTCACTATTACTGTTTTTTATTTGTTTTTCATACCTATTACACACTTAAAATGTGATATAGAATCGTTGACGTTATACTGTATTACAGTACTGCGCTTCAACAAGTACGGTCTTTAAGCTCGTAGCGAGGTTAGTAATATGCAGGTCCAACAACATTAAGAATTATGAGACAGAACTCTGTGTAAACGTTATCGTTGTTTTCGAATTAGTTTACGTGGCCTGATGACTAATGTTTTCAAATGATTATTATAATGTGTTATTTAAAATATCAACGGGTTGAACCTAACACATGACAGTAAAGAGAATAATTTGCATTGGATGTTTCGGATTATTAAAATTACGCCACAATTTTTCTAAACTGCAAGACTTTAATAAGTCTACATCCATATGATTATCGATCTGTCGCTGGCTGTGCGCACCACGTAGCTCACCTGAGACTGCATGTTACTGTACAGGTGTGGACTTCGGGGTAGAACTGTATATGAATACTAGATTTATTCATTACTCTATATTTTACGGTTATTCATTAAGATCATAATACAATTAAAAACAGCAGGTATATCATTTGACCAAATTCGGGTTAAACTCAATGCCCAAACTCTCTCACCTATACAATATTAATCGCAGTGTTACGCACCAACTTTCATTCACCTGGTCACTGCAGCTCCTCCAAATTCCCATCTGATCAGCTGTTAGCATTACTTGATACGAAATATTCTGAAACGCAGCTGTCTTAGTGAGCTCTTACGTCATCACTGTCACAGACAGCTGATCACTTAATATCATGTTAATAGGTTTCATTGCATTTAATTACGTTAGGTTGAAACCTATTTTAACCTAACCCACAAGGTAGCATTAAGGTGTTTAATCATAAGGTGAAATAAGGTAGGGGGTTAATCTTCAGGTGATCCAAATATTTCCTGAACGTCTGGCAACAACACCTGCCACAAGTGTTAACCCTTCATTAACGTCTTCCACAAGGCCTCCGTGTCTCTCTCTTCTTTCTTCGTTAAAGGTTGTGAGAGAAATGTGATGACCAGCGAGCTTACCTGAGGGGGCGACCTTGCACGTAATTACCACCAGGTGTTCACCTACGTCGCCCACACAGGTGTCCCCTCCATTTGAAAATTAAACTCAGCTGAGAGTTAGGCGAAGCGTGTTGGTGCGGTAAAGACCGCAAGTTACAACACCGAACTGGGTTAAGTGTTCTCAGAATCTAAAGATATAATTATAATATAGTTCTTTTATCTCGGCTCGTGGGTGTGTTTGTACACCTCTCCAGGCACTTAATTAAGTACAGCCTATAGATAATCACTATTTATGATTGGTCCATTGTCCCGTGAGATAACCGAGGTGAGATAATGAGATAGATAGGCAGAGACATGGGAGGGAAAGGGGAAGACACACGACATAAAATGTAAACATCTCCACAATAGATTAAAAAAAAAATACCCCCATCTCTCTTTTTCCTAAAAGAACAAAAAACAGAGTGATTTTTTTCTCTTTTGTTTACTGAGCCTTAAGACCCGCAGCGTGTACACAGTGACCTCCAGATGGACTCTCCACCCATTTATAAAATCTAATAATATACATTTCCCTTTATAAGTGCAATTGTGACGCAGTGTTGTGTTGTGTCCAGGTCGGGAGATTCGATGACGTATACCGGATGGTGAAGCGTGACCACCCAGCCACACACAAGCGGGAGGCGCCCACCCTCACCCATCACCTGAACGCCCACGCCCAGGTGAATGACTCATTTGTTTTACAAAGTACTAACATGAAGAGTATTCAAGTTCTAATTTTGCCAAGACTTAGTCAAGAACTAATGATCACAATATTCTCGTTAAAATATCAGTTTTCTATAAAATTTCTCAACACTAATGCCAAGTAAGATCTTTCTCCTCTCTACTCAGGTGAATTATTCCAGGTGGTGTGGTATAACTCAGATGTGTCTCAGGTGGTGTGGTATTTACTCAGATGTGTCTCAGGTGGTGTGGTATTAACTCAGATGTGTCTCAGGTGGTGTGGTATAACTCAGATGTGTCTCAGGTGGTGTGGTTTAACTCAGGTGTGTCTCAGGTGGTGTGGTATAACTCAGATGTGTCTCAGGTGGTGTGGTATTAACTCATGTGTCTCAGGTGGTGTGGTATAACTCAGATGTGTCTCAGGTGGTGTGGTTTAACTCAGGTGTGTCTCAGGTGGTGTGGTATAACTCAGGTGTGTCTCAGGTGTGTGTATAACTCAGATGTGTCTCAGGTGGTGTGGTATAACTCAGATGTGTCTCAGGTGGTGTGGTATAACTCAGATGTGTCTCAGGTGGTGTGGTATAACTCAGATGTGTCTCAGGTGGTGTGGTATAACTCAGATGTGTCTCAGGTGGTGTGGTATAACTCAGATGTATCTCAGGTGGTGTGGTATAACTCAGATGTGTCTCAGGTGGTGTGGTATAACTCAGATGTATCTCAGGTGGTGTGGTATAACTCAGATGTGTCTCAGGTGGTGTGGGCAGAGCAGCAGTTCATCAAGGAGAGGGCCAAGAGGGGTTTCATACCCCGGCAAGACGACAATTACGACCCGTACGGCCTTCTTGAACGCGTCAAGAGGACTGAGGAAGGAGAGGCGGAGGGAGACGAGGAAGCGCACAGGAGGAGGAAGAGAAGCTCGACTATGGCTGACAAGTTTAACGACGAGCTGTGGGATCAACAGTGGTACCTGGTGAGTGTCAGCTCGTCTGGATCGCCTGAAGATAAGGCACTGCAGCTTATTTCATCTGATGATTAAACACCTTAACGCTACCTCGGGAGTTAGGTTGGCGTTAGGATGGTTCAGTTGGGGGGTGCCTAATTTTCACGAGTTCTGGTTACTTTAAGGTAAATACTTGCCTGTCAGGGACTTCGCCGAAATTAATGTAATTTGTCAGTATTTGAAGAAGCTGTTATATTGTTTATTGAAAGTAAAACCGATTACGTACTTTTTTAGACAAACGAAATAAAAATAAGTCATGCTGGTTAATCTGAGTATACTTTATGATTCAATAATTAACTACGAAGCCCAGCAGTGTCGCCCAGAGCGTAGACGTCAAGTTCTAGACGCCCAAGTGACGAGTTATAAAGCAAGTCTACTGTACTTACGTCACAGAGGCCTTATAAAACCAACCGAATCAATTTCAACATAAACCCTAAATATACAAGGTTACAGGCCAGGGTGGGACAACATTTTGTGTATCTTAAAATAACAGCTTCAAGTCATTTATCATATATATAATGCTTCTCCACCCACAGCTGTACGAGTAAATGGCAACTAATTTAACCTGGCCAAGGAGAATAAGTAGATGTGTGACGAGGTGAAACTGACCGTTTTAGCAATAGTCCTGAACAAGAAAGATATCTTGCTCCAACATTTATATAGATTCTGGAATGTACAGCAGTTTACAACTAAAATAAACATAATCTTTGTCTACTTGTGATTAAAATCAGAGAGTAGCGCAAAAAAAAAAATCAACGAGAAAAAGAATTTGTGTATCAGGACTAACAACATGGTCTCTCCCTTCGGTCAGTTCGACACTCGGACGCGGCCTTATCTACCCAAGCTGGACCTCCAGGTTTTGAATGTGTGGGACCAGGGGGTGACGGGCAAAGGGGTGAGGGTCCTCGTACTCGACGACGGCATAGAGTGGGAACACGAAGACCTTCAGGCAAACTACGTAAGTCTTAACTCTGTTTCACGTGAGTCTTTCATTAATAAACATGGAACTTCCACTTATTCAGGTGAAATTTCCCTAAAATGAGATGAATTTTCCATTAACGGAGGTGAAACTTCCTTTTATCGAGTTAAAACTTTTACTGTTGACAATAAAACTTCCATTATATCACGTGATCATTTCCATAAAAGTAGTGAAACTAAAACTGATGTTAACATGAAGCTTGTTATGGGTGACTAAGGCATAACACCACCACCATCTCGTAACCACATCCTCCACCACACTACCACCCCATAACTCCCATGGGCCTGGTTAAGGCTTACGTCAAGTACGCCAGGACGTAGCCCCCCTCCCCCCGGATATGGGGAGCCCACACCCCCAGTATTTTATTTTCCCAGGTTTAGTTTTATCTTTCTGTCCGTACCATATTTTCATAAATGAAATAAGATAACTTCTCTTTATGTCTTTGAAAACTGTACTTTTACCAATTAAAAGAAGATCAAGAATTGGAGGTACTCTCACGATGATCAGCGTTTACCAAATTTGACAGCTTTATAGCTGATCGCCTCATTAGGTTTGGTAACAAGCAGCGCGGCAACTCTAGTTAACTTTTATCAAAAATTTTCACACAATTAACACGCTGAGTGTCAGCAACATTGTCCTCCTTCAGGTTGTCGAAAGACTCAAGAGAAAAGTGCTGAAGCACCTGACTGCCCATCACTTAACTGCAACCGCTTTCCTCGATGTGAGGACAGCAGTGGCAATATTCCTGACACTTGGTGTTTCAGTTTGTGAGGCGCTCGGAGCGTTCTTCCTCGTGAATGGGTAGGACTAACAACTGTATGAGGTCACGCCTCTCAGATAAAAAAATAAACAATCTTTGTATTCTCTCAACAGTTTGATCTCACACGATCATTAAATCTCAATGTTGTAAATAACTTTTGTCAGCTTGTGCTACACTAGAAATAATATATAGGAAGAAAACTTTGGTGTAAATGTACGAGATTCTATACCGTGTATTTCATAGTCAATATTATTATAAACTAATAATTTACTGGCATAAAAAATTATACAGCTGATAATGAATACATGAGCCCCCCCTCCCCCCCCAGAGCACTTGGCGTAGGGTCCCATAAGGCCCTCTAACAAGGCCCTGACCACACCCTCCACCACAATACCACACCCTCCACCACACAACCACACACTCCACCACAATACCATACCCTCCACAATACCACACCCTCCACCACACAACCACACACTCCACCACACAACCACACCCTCCACCCAAAAACCCCACCCTCCACCACCCCACAACCACACCCTCCACCACCACCCCACAAACACGCCCTCCGCCACACTACCACCCCATAACCATACCTTCCACCCCCCCCATAACCACACCCTCTCCCTGCAGGACCCAGAGATCAGCTATGACTACAACAGCAATGACTCAAACCCAGAGCCTCGATACGACTCCCAACTGTCCAACTCCCACGGTACTCGCTGCGCCGGGGAGATCGCCATGGTCCCTAACAACCATAAGTGTGGCGTCGGGGTGGCCTATGGTGCCAGGCTGGGCGGTAAGTGTGGTGCAGGGGTGGCCTATGGTGCCAGGGTGGGCGGTAAGTGTGACCAAAACAATAATACTTATATACATAAATATTTAAATTCTACACTGGCCAGCAAAAGCAGGTGTTGCACTTATTTTAAACAATAAATTCCTGGTGAGATCTTGACGCAAGGCAACAGTTTACTGTAATGACCATAGAGGTAAAAGTCATATTGAATGTACGGATTTAATCCTGCATAATTCAAGTAAATGATTTGAAAGTGAATATTCAGGTTCAGTCATAGTCAGAAGAAATGCTCTTAACGCCACATGAGTTTCATTTAAACTGCTGAGTGATCTTATTCTGTTCTCTCCCTTCACCTCTACATTCTCTCCCCACCCCCACCATGTCGTGCAGGTGTTCGCATGCTGGACGGTCCTGTGAGCGACATCGTGGAGGGATTGTCCCTGATTCACAGCATAGAGGTTGTGGACGTTGTGAGCTGTTCCTGGGGCCCAACCGACGACGGCAAGAGGGTCGAGGGCCCCGGCAGGCTAGCAGAAATGTCGATGCATAAGGGCACCAAACTTGTGAGTAACACTAACAGTTATTTCCTCAACTTGGAACAGTTTCGTTAATCACTAAGTAGCGGTGATCCCCTCACCGGATATCCTATTTACCATTTTCTTCGCCCGCCAGGGTCGTGGGGGTCGTGGGGTTGTGTACGTCTGGGCGGCAGGTAATGGCGGGTCAGTTGGAGACAACTGTAACTGTGACGGCTACACCTCCTCCATCTACACTCTCAGCATCAGCAGCGCATCAGAGACCGGCAAGTTCCCCTGGTATGGAGAGCTTTGCACCTCCACCCTCGCTGCCGCCTACTCTTCCGGCGCCTACACTGACCAGAAGATCGTGAGTCTGGCCCTATTTGTGGGGGAAAGTGGGTGTGCCCCTGCTTGTGGGCGGAAATTTAAGGAGTTGCACACATTCTGTTACTGATTGTAGGAGGAGCTGTATGATTAGCAGTGATCTGTCAAACACAATTTTAGAGTAAATATGTTATGGCTGTGTTTGTGAAGTTATACGAGATGAAGCCAACATAAAACTGTGAGGGTCTGATGTCAGATGAGGGTGTCCTTTACCACTACCTGCCTGAAGGGGTGAATGTGTTATCGTCTGCGTCTCCCACAGGCCACCACCGATCTCCACAACAAATGTACTACCAAGTTCTCCGGCACCTCAGCCGCTGCGCCCCTCGCTGCTGGCATTATTGCTCTCGCCCTAGAAGTCAAGTAGGTCACTGAAAGCATCAGTCGTTCAAGTATGACGTCAAGACGTAGGTTGTAAAAGTAATAAGGAACAACTTCCTTATTAAATCACGTATTATGATAGAAAACGATGAGACAAATGGTGATGGATTATAATTTAAGAGATAATATACGGAGGTGATAGAGATAGGCCAAGTAGGTTTGGTACGAAATAAAATTTTCCTGAAAATTGCGCTAGAGGCCAACTTAGGTAGTAGGCAGCTACCAAACAGGGAGGCACTACTGCCTAGGAAGATATATGGCATTACGAAAATTGTGACCAAGTCCCAGGTTGCTGATCTGACTTTCTGCCTCATTTACACACAATTGCAGGGTCTCAATTGTTTCTCTTACTTTGACAACAAAACATGCATACTGTACACTATATTGTTTCTCACTATTAATTTTTTCATTTTTGCATTTCTTTATGGTTCTTTATCATTATTATTATTAGTGTTATTATTATCATTGTTATCATTATTATTTACTTTTTAATTTTTAATTTTGTATTATTATTATAAATTTTATTTAATATGAATTATTGTTATTATTATTACATTTTCGCCCCCAAGGCCCTGATGTGGGTCAGTGACGTGTGCCCGGGTGGGCTAATCCCCATAAAAAAAAAAGTCAACTGCCAATGCAAGTCCTACCCCAAGCAATCATAGAATTTGTATCTCAGGAGTTATTGTATGTATTAGTCAGGTATGTCATATATCATATAGTTCATAGGTCGAGGTCAGAGTAGGTCGTAGGTCAAGTGGTCTTCAGCCTCCTCCCTTACCTTGTGTTGCCCGTCAGTCCAAGGTTGACGTGGCGGGACATGCAACACGCGGTGGTGTGGTCCAGCGAGTGGGCGCCGCTGGCACACAACGGCGGCTGGATCTTAAATGGTTGGGGCCTCAGGATCAACCCTCGTTTTGGCTTCGGTCTACTGAACGCCGAGAATCTGATCAACACCGTTAGGAATTGGACCAACGTGGGTCAGCAGAGGACCTGCAAGGTGGCGCCTACTAACAGGTAAGACGTTTCGACTGTTTTATGGTCACGAGGACAACGGTACTAATAAATTATTAATAAGTGAAGGCGGAGAGGAATTGTCTTTCCATTATACCTGTGACCTACCAGGGATATTTAGCATATAAAATGTACGAGTACTGACGGGGCTTTTTCGTTTCAGCGGTTTGGTGGAGCCTCGGGGATTTTTAGTTACTGGACACATTCCAAGTTTTAATGAAACTCATGATGATAATCTAAGGTTTCACAATATTACAACAACTACGGGATGAATTACAAAGCAAATTGCTGTCACAAGTCTATGTTACATAAATAAACACGACAAAATTATGTTACTGGTGTGTTTATCAATATACAATAACTGTGTTCACGAGAGTAGATGTCCCAAGCCACCTTGTCCCACCTCTCTAAGTGTTTCCGTGTCTCACCATACAGTAATTGTACCACCTGAGGGTTACCCGGCCGTTGTATATCCCAGTGTATGTCAACTGGCCTTTAATTATTTGAGTTTTCCAGAGTTTAAAGGTGTCACTTAATAATTAATAGAAATTAACGTTACTACACATCGCTACAGGTCAAGTGACACCTTGGAGACCGGAGGGTGGGTGAAGGTGGAGTTTGACAGTGACGGGTGTGTGGGCAGTGAGGACGAGGTGAAGTTCTTGGAACACGTCCAGCTGGTGACTACCATCAATTACACCAGGCGAGGCGCCCTCACCATCAGCCTTGTCAGTCCTCAGGGTAAGTCCTCACCAACAAGTCTCCCACGATAAGCTCACACCATCACACAAACACAATGAGGTAAAGGGCGCTACTGTACACTGTGCTTGGTAAAGACAATGTTCGTATGTACATAATTATCATGTTTTTATTAAGGCTTTCACACAAGAGAATCAATGAAGTTGGCAGAACTAATCTGTTATTACAGTACCTTACCAGTTACACACACACGTGAATTTCGTATGAAATATAAAACCACATAAACATCCGCATGATCAACACACTGGTCCGAGATCTGTCACTAGGATCGAGTGAGACTGAACAACTTTATGTTCTTCCCGCTATGGTTGTCATAACACCCGCTGCTGGTTCTCTTGTTCACGATAGCCCTGGCTGGTCTTTGAAATGGACTACAGATTCTCTTTTCTTTACTTCCTTGATTGAATTTTATTATACTATAATTGTGTTTTTGAAACTTGTGTGATGCTTCAAGTAAATGCTAATTTGCTCGACCTTAATTCAAGACACATATATCACCCAAAATAACCCAACACTGTAACCCCAGGCACACAGGCCACCCTGCTGACGGAGCGTAAAGCGGACACCTCCAAGAAAGGTTTCAACAAGTGGCCCTTCATGTCGGTACATACCTGGGCTGAGGACCCCTCAGGTGTCTGGACCCTCACCTTCTACGACAACGTTAGTTGATTAATTTATTTGATGTATTATTATTGGGTAAAAATTCCTCAACTTATTTATTCACTGAGGATAAGACAGCAGTAAAAGCACTTATTATCCGGTGTGGTCCTCATATTGTCTTTGTTGATCAGGAATATATGCTGATGTAACTTAATTATGAAAACTGTGTATGAAATTAATAAACAGTACGATATATTTTCTCAATCAGAGTACCGTCCTCATATCTGAGGCTTGGCGACCACAGTCCTCCACACTAAACGTTCTCGAGCTGTTTTAACCAATCCTTTTAGGCTTTGTCTCTCTGGGGACCCAGTTCTTAATTTCTTTCATCCATCTCAGTCTCTGCTTTCCCCTGGTCCTCCAACCCTCAACTTTGCCCATTAACATTTGTTGTTATCCTTCATCTTTGTTATATGACCTTAAGTATCTCATTTTTTCTTTTTCAGTACATTTCAAATATGTCTCTTGTTTTCCTGTCAGTGTAGCTTATTCTTAGCATTTCCCTATAACACCACTTTTTTTTAGCAAGTGCAAATGATAGAGACGTATATTGAGGAAATATCAGTAATTATTGTTCAGCACGATAAAATTTTCATGTTTAGAATAATAATAATTAATTAATCAGTGGGTATTAAATTTAGGCTAGTCATCTATAACGTACGTTTTCTTTAACCAATAGACTGACGGAGAAGAAAACGGAACCATCGAGGACCTGGAGCTAATACTATACGGCACTAAAGAAAGACCCGCATACCTGCAGGACAAGAGGACATATAAGATCCGCTATGACCAAGTGGTATGTAATTTCAGTTTATATATATACTCAGATAATATATACTCCTATGTGCTTAATTACATTGATATATATTTACCCTTGGAGTAAATAATTCAATGGAAAGACAAAGACTTTAAATAAAAAAAATAAAATGAGACAATCATGTGTTGCTCTGGCTGGCTCAGGAGGACAAGGAAGAGTACACCAAGAAGGACGACAAGCTGTTACTGAACGCCCTCCAGCTCTACACCCTCCCCTGGGACGAGCTCCTCGATTTACTGAACAAGAGGTGAGTGGGTGGTCCATATCCCTTGTGTGAAATAATCAACATCAGCGTATTTATGAACGTAGGATAACACACAAACAAAAAATATACGTCGTTGTTTTTCCTTCAGCACGCGATCAACACTCTCAAGAGAGGACATTGAAATGCTACTGAAGGAGGACCGCCTCGAGCACACCCTACGCAACCTCCAATCACAAGACGAGAAACTGGGAACTAGATCCATGTCGAAACTTAATTGGGAACTTATCTTCGACGAGCTGATGGCAAGGAGGCAATGAAAACATGACGTAAAAAAAAAATGCAGAAAACAATACACTAACCAACTTGCTCCAGATAAGTCTCTAACTCATGAACAAAGTAAAAATTTAGGAACTAATCATTAGAATGCAGAGTTCAGAGAGTTGGTCTCGGTGCCATGTTATCAGGAAGCGTTGCTCATGTAACAAAAATTTATAAAAAAAAATATTGTGCACGAATATGAAACAAAAAGAAATCTTCTTTTATATGAATACAATAATTAAATTCCCTCAAGTTTATGATTACGTTAACATAAATTTACCACACCTGTGACGATTGACATTTATTTGCTCAGTCCTCTCAGTGTCTTAGTTTAAGTCAATCTTAGTATATTATCATCACTGCACGCCTCCCCCGGGCTGGCCTGGGATACACCCCATAACGTTACGGAGATAATGTTTGTGTTACCTCCTCGTTATTTTATTAGTTTAAGGGGCTATATTTACCCCTATCCCTCACTCACACACACATGGCGTCCAGGATGTGATCTAACACATTGTGCTACGACCGACGCTTCCTTGACATGTATAAAGTATAAGAGTTAAGCCTGGGTGTCAATTTATTTTCCTGATGCTTTCCATTAAATGTATCAATTGCGCCTTCCCTTTCTAACCAGTATATATTTTAGAACAGCGCCCTCGTCTCATTCACTTAGCTTTAACAAATATGAAAATCCATTCTAATAAAACAATAGTTCAGTAACAGCAAGACTCAGTTGGCTCTCAAACACGAACGGCGAAAAGAACTTGGTCAAAAGCATCCGTTAAAGCCAACACACAGACAGAAGTACGATAGTTCAACTCTCCACCACCACCACCACACATCTATCTTACCCTTAATAAAACAAGTCCAACATATTACCAGCAGTTAGGTCACGTGGTTTAGGTTCATTAACATATTGATCTACGGGTTAAAATGAACCTAAAAGAGTCGCGTCGTTTTTTCCAAATTATTTCTATATTTTTATTTATTTTTATTCGTATTATCTTTATTTTTCTTTGGACGTAATGCTAAACAAGACCTGAATGTAAACAACTAATATTCCCATCAAACAATAAAGACATTATCACTAATTAACGCCTATGTGACACTTTTGTTCAGACGTAAATAACAAACCGTAATGTAATAGAATAATTAAAACCATTACTATTTCAACAACTTGGGTGCTTACGACGATTAACAGAACTATCGAAAATCATTCATTATTTTACTAACAACTTCTATAAACAAAATTAATAAACAGAATAAAGTATTGTCAGTAATAAATTAATGTTTAAGTAACTATATTAATCTAAACGGAGGGAAGGAATCATGAGACGTGACGCAACAAACTGACTTTACACATAACGTTTCCTCAATCTGTTCCATTCATAACAAACGTACACAATTACAAAGGAAAACCAGGTGAGGTATTCTAAATGATAGTCGTTTATATATGCTTGAGTGTAAACATAATTATACAAATATAACAAATTTATCTACGCATATATATATCTATACTTAAATAACTATATTGTTGGCAAATAAAGTTATTTTCATATCTATATTTTCATTGACTTCCTTTGTACTGATAACGAGTGAAGAGATATATATAAAAAGGTATGTAAGCAAAAGGGAAGAGTATGTTCTGACATTTTAACGCTCATAAATAGACGAAAGAATAACTCACTTATGTTAAACAGGAAATCATGAGTGAGAAATGAACTACACGAGGAAGATGGTAGTAATGGAGAGAGAAAACTTACGCCTATTATTAGTATTATATTATCTTTATACATTATTCGTTGTTTTCCCAGACTATGTGGGGAGGCGAGAGCCGCAGTGACCACGACGAAACACACAATAAGTTATTTGTAGTGGCGAGCTACCAGTCCCGCTGTAATAGGCTATTTACCAGGTACCACCAACAATTAGCAGTTGGGACTAATTGGAAATACCTGGAAGCCATGACTGGCATACCTGAATCTTAACTCACAGGAAATATGAGAAAATTTATGTGGGAATTAATCATTGTTTGAGAGTCCGCCCTCTTTTGTGGCCTCAGGGCAGGTGGAGGCAGTGACGAGTGTTTGTAATCAACACCAAACAGAATAAAAAAAAAAAAAAAGTTAGTCAGGTTAGTTAAGATTATTCATCTTTTAGCTTCAAACAATTTATCTACTTGGATTTACAAGACAAAGTTGATTCAATTAGTGATTTTAAGTGAACGAATTACGTGTTGCAGTTTTCATAAAGGTACTGTTGCCTGCTGGATACATCTCTTGTTACTGATAATCTTAAATTGGACGTCATGTCAGGCATCTTACAAACATCTCCTTTAAATATATAAATACTGTACTGATTCTTTCCTTTAACACAGTAACTGCGATTTACTCTTCTACCCAATTCTGTCCATGATAAGATGATTCACTAGTAACTCACACTTTAAGAGAATAACCATAGCTAACCACAGATGATGGCTGTCATTTTAACTTTTACTTTAATTAATAGAATAACCACAGCTAACTACAGATGAAGGCTGTCATTTTAACTTTTACTTTAATTAATAGAATAACCACAGCTAACTACAGATGAAGGCTGTCATTTTAACTTTTACTTTAATTAATAGAATAACCACAGCTAACTACAGATGATGGCTGTCATTTTAGCTTTAAATATACAACGAACAGGAAAGATAATTAGAGAGCAGCACTCCGTTACGTGCCCCTCATCACCACTCATTACTCGGGTCCAGCCTCACAACATACAAGTTTAGCGAGATTAGGTTACGTAAATCTCTGTTCTAAGACTTTTAATTTAATCTTATATGTGCCTTTATAAGTACTATCGTGACTACTGAGTAACTGTAATAAATATATAACAGTTTCATAGTGAGGTAAGCAAATGTTTACCTACTTGATAAATTTAAACTTCAAAAGAGTTATATTTTCGTCAAATATTGAATTCGTTACCGTCATCTGCTACAGTTTTAGCCCAGCGCTCGTCTACCTCCCTCACTGTAATAATCAGTAAATTCTCTAGAAAACAGACGGAACATAATTATTCTGGATTATAGGGGTGCAATATAATAACATCCTCATAACAACTCTTTATGGTGATATTATCTAAATGTATCTCTCATGTCTAGTAATAATTATCACCCATTACCATCATTACTTCTCGCGGTATATACCTCTGCTTCACTAACGTTGCGTACACTGCCATCAACAACAACTGGAACAAGAGAACACAGTCTAGCGTAGTCTACAGAGCCGCTGGACAATAAGACACATTGGGGAGCTAAATATACTAACATTTCCGGTCTACAAGTCGATGGTTTAGCCAAAACTAAGGTATACTGGACGTTTAATGTACAATAACAACACCACCTGGGTCAGCACTAATCTCTGTATAGTAAAAGTGCCACTGCAGGTAAAAGAGACGCGCTAATGTTCGTCTGGTGATGCTCCTTTAAGCGTGTCATTATAGGGTAGAGGAGAACGACAGACTATGATGACTGCCAGTGCTGGAGCCGATATTTTGGAAAGTCATGTGTGTTTGAGGAACGGACGGACGGCCAGCAGAAAACAACAGTCAGCATGTACAGTATATGGTGGTCTGCCTTACACCTCGCTAGGTCAGAGTATTGGGCAGATCCTTGACGGTAATGGAGCGGTGATCATTACAGTGGTCGGGTAGTTAAGTGTGGCTGGAGTGGGTGAGTGCTGGTACACCTGGTCTGTGTCACGTTGCTCCACCACACAACCTCTACCACTCACCTCCTCCATGACGCTCCACACACATACAAACTACACCATTACACTACCTCCTCCTCCTCCACCTCCTTCGTCTACTGTTACCAAGATACTCCCATCCACACACACACCTGTTGAAAAGGTTCGATGGAAACCCATGACTAAGACTTCTAGTAATATATTGTCTTTCAGCTGCAATCTTAACCCATGACACAGGAAAAGTTTATAAACATCCAGACAGATAAACAGACAAATACCCACACTACAGCCCTCGTGCCATAATGTGTGTGTTTTCTTTCAATAGGTGACTAAATACTTGTAAAAGAAAGTGTATGGTCCTTAGGTACATTTTCCTATACGGTGACTCATGTAGACTCAATAGAGATTCATCAAGACTCAGTGATTCATGTAGGGTCAAAGAACGGTCCTCAATGGGAATAAATAGACTCGTGGCAAAATTTTATTGGTAACTCACGGAAACTCATGGGATATTATTAATGGGAACTCACGTAAACTCGTGGTAACTCGCGTAAGCCCATGGTGAATCGTGGTAACTCTTGGAGACTCGCACTGACTCTTAGGACTCACAAACTCACGGAATTTCACCTCTATCCCTGAAGACCAATAGAGACTCACTGACTCACGCCCTCACCACCACACATGTCAACCCCCTCCCTCCCTCCCCCTGGTGTGGTGGCGTGTGTCAGGCGTGGGACTCTTAGCAAGTAACTACCTTGTAATTGGCTTGTAATTGGTGCCAGACCCGTGCCGCATTTAACCTCCACTCAAACACTGCCACTTTGTGTGTGTGTGTGTTTGCGAATGTGTCCCCCACGTAAGGCTTAACACAGTATGGATACATTACACCGGTACACAAGGCATCATGGCAGACACTGAATTTGACCTCCTTCACTTCTATACTGTAAGGTGAGGTGAACTGGCAGTGTCTCAGAATTCAATCACCATCCTTTGGGACTTAACTATGCTACCTGGGGTTCTGGGGATGGGTTGGGTTAACTTTATAGTGGTTATCCTTAAGGTGAAATAAACGGGGTGCCTAACCTTCATTTAATCCAAAGATTCTCTAACTTAAATCTTATATCAGCTAAGATCACAGAACTGGTGTAATTTGGGTGCGAATTCGGATGTTATTTTGTGTCTTTACTTTTGTCAACCTGTTGGATACACTTTTTATCATCACTTTGAAGGAATATTCGTCGTTTGAGTAGTTGAAGAACCAGGTCGAGTTGGTTATACTGTGTTCTGTTTTCTACAACACATACCCACGCCCCACGGTGAGAAAATTCCATTAGAATCAGTCTCCTCTTCTCTTAGATGTTAAACATACAAGAACACACTGTAGGAAAAAATATTGGCGACTTCGCAATTTCTCAGATAATAATAATAATAATAATAATAATAATAATAATAATAATAATAATAATAATAATAATAATAATAATAATAATGGTTGCCCCTCGTGTAACGAGGATGGCCGACCCTAGGGCCACCTAGGCGTGAATTTGTTTAAGGTGTAGAAGCTGTCGCCAACACAACAACCACACCCTAAGTTAACGAGTTGCATGACCCAGTGTCAAGGAATAGTCCAAGAAGACCGGACAACTCGCCAACTGCATTGGGTAACCATTACCCCGGAACACGAGCCGCAAATAGATTAACATCCAGGTTCCCAATTACTGCTGGGTAGACAAATGACGCAAAGAAACTTGCCCCTAGTTTCTCCGTGTCCGGGGATCGAACCCAGGTCCACTCGCTTACGAGGCGAGCATGCTTACCATTACACCACACTCCTTATTTATAATGTATGTCCTTGGCCTATGTCAACACTTACTGTAGTACTGAAACTGTTGGTCATAATTGTTATAACTAAAGCAGACACATTATACGGGTCTTCTATACAGTACCCGACTTCATCTGAGTTCTTAATGAAAACGATAAACAAAAAATCCCCTGAGGAAGAACAAGAAAGTGCACAACCATCCCCCTTGGTCACCCGCACCTCCCTACCAAATTTCATCTCTATCTTCAAAACCGTGTAAATGCGTAAGGAACATACAAGCAGACACAGACAATATACATTTTATATTGAGATGATATACAAGACTCGTGACTATACATAACTGCAATGACCAAGTTGTTTATCATTAAGAAAGAAAAACAAGGAGAGAGAGAGAGAGAGAGAGATGCCTGTGTAGGAGAGAGCAGTCATCCGTCTTGGTGGTGGTGGCAGGGGCGGGGTGGTGCTGCAGGAGGGAGGGAGGGGTGAGCCAGACCCAGGTATTGCACCAGGCCCCGGGCGCCCATTAACAGTCATGAGCAAGGGGATAATTACAGGTTATGGGGCTTGTTTATTATCATATCCCCGCCTCCCTCGTCTAGCCTCTACATGGTCATCACGGCTGTGCTCACGGCGAGAAGAAACTGCCCATTCGCACTACCTGTTAAGGGTCGCTCTTAACTACCCTGCGTGTTGTTTCTTCTCGTGTTGGTATGTGAGGGTAGAGGAAAGGGGACGGGAGGGGTGGGGGGGGGGTAGGGAATGAGGTTAATATGCTAAATGGGCGAAATCTATTTCTAAGTTCCTACCATTAATTAACATAATAAGTTAACATTTATATTCACTCAGCCGAAATGATTTCCTTCACAACATTTTTAAACTAGCAACAGTTTCGCTAAGACCAGAGTGTAGGTGTGAGGTTCAGTAAGTGAGTTTCCTATCTCACTTTTCATATTAGATACTGTGGTAAAAATATTCAACCAGTTCCCAATATTCTCCTATAGAAAT